CCACGGCCACCCACGACTCGGCGTCCCCGCAGTCGGCACCGCGCTGCGTGGCCCACTCGCCGATCGCGGCCTGGTGCCACACCGCACGCTCGCAGCTGCGGCCAGCAGCTGCCCACCAGTAGGGGCGGTCGTTGTCTTGCTCCCACTTGCGCGCGACGCCTCGGCGCAGCCGCGCCTGCACCCTCGCCAGCACCATGATGACGGCGATGGGCCTGACGCCGCCGAGCCGCTTCTGGATGAAGCCGATCTTGGTCGTCATGAGCGGCCAGGCTGCTTCGCGCTCGACGGCCACCAGGATGTCGATCAGCACCTCCAGCGCTTCGTCGCACAGCTCGTCCAGCTGCCGCGGCCGAACGGAGCAGAAGGACATGCCCGTGCTGCCCTTGAACGAGCGCAGCACCTTGCGGAGCTCGGGGACCGTGGGCCTGGGCGGCCTCTCGCCGAGGTCGGCTGGCCACTGCAGCCGCGCTTGCTCGCAGGTAGTCCTCCACCAGCGGCTCCACTCGACCTCCAGCGCCGTGACCTGCTGCCCCAGGTCCATGGGCTCGAGCAGCTGCTGGTGGTCGTCGGCGTCCTTGTCGTCCTCGGCGTCGCCGTACGGGCTGGAGTCGAACCCGACGGGCAGGCGGGACACCGCATGGAGACCACCTCCACCGCCTTCGGCCTGCTTCTCGACCCAGTGCTGGAACTGGACGGTGCGCTGGGCCATGTCCTTCTCCGCCATGTCGAGCGCCACGGCTTGCGCCCCAGCGTGCAGCTGCAGCAGCTCAGCGGGGGCCAGCGCCGCCAAGCGCAAGTTGCTAAGCAGCGACCACCATGCTACAGCTTGGGGCAACCCCTGAGGGCAGGACAGAACCTCGCCAGCATCAGGTGCCGCCTTCACTGTGGCTGGGGCTCTGTGTAGCAGCCTACGCGCACCTCGAAGAGCGTCGAGACGCGCGTTGGGCTGCTCCAAGTCGGCGATGTCCCGCAGCAGGCTGGCAGCACGGTGCATCCATGTCGCCTCAGCCGAGACCCGCGGCCAGCGCGCGCCACTCACGGGCAGCCGCCGAAGCCAGCGCGGCTCCACGGGGCGAGCTCGCCCCTTGTGCTTGACCCTGTCCTCCTCGACCTGGTAGATGTCGATCCACTCGTCCTCGGCTGCGTCGAGGAACCTCTGCCACGCGGCGGTGAGGTTACCCTTGACGTCGGTGCTACCCTTGACCTGATCCCGCACACACTCCTCCAAGTGGCACGACCTTCCCTCACTCGCGGGCCCCGCAACGGGCGGCGGTGAGGTCACACGGGAAACGTCCAGGCACTCCGACTCCTGCGCGCCTGCCAGCACGCTCTGCAGCTCGTGGCCGATCTCGGCCCAGCGGTCGCCGTGGGCGACGCGAGCACATCCAGCAGGCCGCTGGACAGGGAAGGGCTTGGGCACTGGCACGACCCGAACCCACGGCCGTTGGCGACACGCCTCCAGCTCCAGGATGACTGGCTTGTGCGGGTAGACGGGCGACCCGCTGACCACGCTGATGTTGGTCACCTTGAGCCCACGCGAGACGATGAACATATCGATCGTCCGCTTCGACTGCGCGCAGGTGGGCTCCAGCGTGTCGACGACGACCGCATCGAAGAGCCGCAGCACGCCTGACTTGGCCAGCTCCTGCTTGGTACAGTTGAAGTCGCCCCCGACCACGTATGGGCGACCGTACTCGCGCAGCCTGCAGGCCAGGTCGCGCAGCATCTGGGCGTTGAACGCGTTGACGCCGACGCCTGACTGCAGGTAGATGTTGGCCATCACGATGCCGCCTCGCAGCAGCCCCGAGTGATGGAGCACTTGCACGCGCCCTTCTTGAAGCACAGAAGGCCGCGACCCCAGCATGGTGGCAAGGCCATGCTCGCTGCGCACACAAGTGAGCAGCCCCCCAGTTGCCAGCCCTCCAGCCAGCGATGGCACCGCGGCAGCACCACATGCTCGAAGCCCTCGACGGCGAAGCTCCCCTTCAGCGTCCGCCGTGCGCGCTTCTCCCAGCCGCGTCTCTTGGAACAAAATTGCGTCGCAGCTCGTCAGCTCCTCGACCAGGCACTTGTCGATGTTCGAATACGCATTCATATTCAACGTGACGAAGCGCCAGGAGCTGCTGCGGCTAAAGCTTCCGCCGCTTGGCCTCCATCGCGGCGACGTGCTGTTGCTGCAGGTGGGCCTGTAACTCCTCGAGGAACTTCCGCTTCTCCGCGTCCGTGCCGATGAAGTCCTCCGCCGCGGCCTTGAAGGTGTCGCCCGTCGCGAAGCCCAGGGGGTCGCCCTCCAGGTCCATGTCTTCGGACTCGCCCACAGGCTTCTCGGCGGCAGCGTCGCCGGCCCCAGCGGCGGCGGCAGCGCGGCCTGCAGGCGCGGCTCCTCCTCCACATCCTCCAGCAGCGACTGGTTCAGGTGGCGTGGCAAGCGCGGACATACCTGCCAGCAGCGCTTGGAGAGGTCCCAGCACGGACTCTGGAAGCTGGACGCCCTGGCTCTCCGAAGAGGTTCCCACGAGCGTCCTGAGCTTCTCCACGTGGCCGAGGATGCCGCTGAGATCTGCTCCTCCAACAGCTGGCTTGGGCTCGGCGCCGTTGGCGAGCGCGGCCTTCGCCTTGGAGACGGCCTCGTCCAGCTCGAGCTGCAGCTGCGCGACCTTCTCCTTCTGCTGGAACGCTGCCTGCAGCGCCTCCGTAACCATCTTCTGCTTCTTGTTGTAGTCCGCCTTGGCCTGCTGGAGCCGCTTGCAGGCCTCGTCGGCTGCGACCTGCGCAGACTTGACGAGCTTGACGTCGGACAGCACGCCCAACTGCTGCTGCAGCAAGAAGCGCGACTGGCGCAGGCTGTGCTTGTCGCTGGCGGCCAGCGTGACGGACAGCAGCTCGAAGTCGTCGTCACTGAGGGCCATGAAGCGGTCGCGGGCCTCGGGCGAGAGCTTGGGCGGCTGCGCCCCAGAGCCCCCGCCACCTCCACGCTTCGGGTTGGCCACCGCGTGCCAAGGGCGGGAGTCTGCAACTCCGTCCGCCCACGCCCCACGCGCTGGAGGAGGGCCAGAACGAGGAGCAGGTACACGATTGGTCGGCCTGCAGCCCGTGCACCCCGCTTGCCGACACTTCGCAGGAGGGGGAGGAGGGGGAGGAGGAGGAGGAGGAGCAGGAGGAGGAGGAGGAGGAAGAGGACGAGGAGGAGACGGAGGAGGAGGAGAAGGAGAAGGAGGAGAAGAATGGAGCGAGAGCAGTAGGAGGATTGAGAAGGAGGGCGACGACGTATAAGCTAAGTGGATGTTCGTTGGAGTATAGTGGGAGGCCTCTTGGGTGCCTCTCGGAGGCAGTTTCGAAGCCTCTTGACGGCAGTTTCGGGGCCTCTCGGGGGTCTCTTGGGGGCCTCTTGGGGGCCTCTTCGGGTCTTTTGGGGGCCTCTTGTGGGGCCTCCTGGGGGCCCTGGGGAGGAAGGCATGGATTTTGGGTTCGTGTTCTCTCTCTGGGGTCCCTTTCCCTTGGGGCACCTCTTGGGGCCGTCTTGGGTCGCTTTTCGGCCGTCTTGGGGCCCTCTTGGAGGCCTCTTGGGCCGTTTTGGAATGGTTTTTGGGGCCCCTTGGGCCGTCTTGGAGCGCCGGAAAGCCGAAGAGGCGAGAACGCCAAAGTCTTCCACAAACGCACGGGAAATCAGTGATTCTTGCTTGTATGGGGCCCTCTTGGGAGACCTCTTGGAGGCTTCTCGGGGCGCCTTGGAAGCCTCTTGCGCTATCTTGAGGCCGTCTTGGGTGTCTTCGAGCGATCGTTCGGCGACTCGGGGCCCTCCTGGACCGCCTTGGGGGCTTCCTGGGCCGTCATGGAAGCCTTAGAGAGCCCCAGGGAGGCGCCATGGCCGCCCAGGGATCCCCCGTGAGCATGGCTGTGCACGCAGCGAGGCGCTTCCCGAGGAAGTGGGGGCCCCTGAAAATATTATAGAAACCCTGCCAGACAGCATTTGACATCCTACCACGCCTCAACGTGCCAGGGTGCACGGTGGCGGATAGGAAAGGGCTGAATGGTGTGGCTTTAGGTCCGGCCCGCCGCTGTGCCTGGGTCATCGGTCAGAGGCCCTGGGATGCTTGTGAGGATCTATTGGGAGACCTCTCGGAAGCCTCTTGGAGGCGATGTTGGGGAGGTTGAGAGCGTCTCGGGGGCTTCTTGGGGGCCTTACGGGGCCTGACTTGGGGCACCTCAGATACTACAGGACAGTTGCGAACAAGCCGTCCTCCAGCACATGCAGTCAATGGGCCCCAGCCCACCCGCGCTGCCCCTGAGAGGCCCGCTGGCCAGCCAGCCAGCGGACTCGGCGCGCTCCGATCCGCTCCGCTCTCCCGGTCCCCCCCCAAATTGCGTTCGGTGGCAGGTCATCGGAGCCTTTGGTGTGTCCTCGCAAGTCAGTCTCTTTGGTGCACTAGCGCGCGCTGGCGTCGGGTGGCCGATCGGAGAGCGAGGATGGACGCGCCGATTTCGCGTCGATGACCCTCGACTAATGTCGACGAGCGTGGATTCGCAAGGGTCAGCAAGACGGCATGGGATCGGCGTCACCCCAACATACTTATACTATACGTGCGTCGCCCCCCCCCAGGGGCGACGCGCGCAACGAGACATCTTATAGTACATGCGTCGCGGCGGGCGCTTTCTGCCCACACCGCTCGGGAAAGGATATACTACAAGATGGGTATACTATGCGTTCGGGTCGGACGCGCGCCTCCAAGAAGAACATATACACGTTGCTCATTTCTAATTATTCGAAAGTTCTTTGATTTTTTGGGGGCCAACATCCTTTCATTTCTAACTGTTCCATCCTGGGCCTCTTCCCGACCACTAGGGGGCCAGGGACCACTAGAGACGAGCACAATTAGAAATGGGCACGATTAGAAATCAACGACGTGCAGTACCAGTATGCCTCAGTGCGCCCCATGGGATGCCCCCCGTGCGCTGCCGCAGAGCCTGGCGCCCCCCGCCGCCCCCGGGGGCGCCCGCAGACGTCCAGCACGCCGCGCCTGGACCTGCTGCCGCCCCTCCGGCGCGCGCAGTTCCTCCAGGTGGTGCAGCGACAGGTCCCAGCCCACCCGTGTGGAAGGGCCCTTCGTCGGGGCCGGCAGGAAGGGAGGTGATGACTGGGGGTTGGGGGGAGATATCGTGGCGGGGGCCGTGAGATCTCCCCAGATTTCGTGGCGCCTCTTCTTGCTCCAGTACGTCCCTGGCCCCCCCCCCTGGGCCGCGCACGTGCCGCGGGCCATGATTTGCGCCCCCCTCCCCCTAGACTCCCCCCTTTTGGCCGCCCCCGAGGTCGCGGTCGCAGTTGGGAGCCGGCTGGGGGTCAGGTGGCCCAGCACTGGTGCCGGCCAGCAGGGTAGGGGGGGGCGAGGTTCGAGGTCATGTGTTCGAGGAGGTGGCTCTGCTTTTGTTCGGCCTCGGATGGTCGTTTCCTGGCTCTGGGGCCGTTACAAACGGATTCGGGGTGAAAAAATGCACCAGATGAATCCCAGGAGGGGTCGGGGGATCGAGTTTGACCGGGTTTGCCCTCATCCTTGATGGGCTTGTTTTCCACCACCACCACACGTTGGAGGGGGGGAGGAGGTGGAGGACGAGGGGGAGGGGACGAAGAGGAGGAGCAGGAGGAGGAGGAGGAGGAGGAGGAGGAGGAGGAGGAGGAGGAGGAGGAAGAGGACCTCCTCCCCCTCCAACTGATTGGTGGTGGTGGTGGAAAACAGGCCCATCAATCCCTCCTTCTTGGCAGATTCTCTGAGGGCCCAGCCAGTTCGGACCGCCCGGCCGCCTCCAAGTCGCCATCGTCGTCGCCCCCCTTTCAGAGGAAGAAGAGGTACACAATGTTCTTTTCTAATTATTTGAAAGTTCTTTGATCTTTGGGGGGGCCAAGGTCCTCTCATCCCTAATTATTATATCCTGGGCCTCTTCCTGGCCACTGGGGGGCCAGGAACCATTAGAAACGATCACAATTAGAAATGAGCACGATTAGAAATGAACGACGTGAACCGATCCCGCTGCTCGTCGTGAAGATCATCCCTCATCGCCACGACTGAAATCTCTTCGAACTTCTGGTCAGAGAGCACCCCAGGATAGTGTCCAGGGAGTAGACGCGAAGTCAGATGCATTCGCCGAAGCGCGAAGGCGAGAACAATCATAAAGACATGGGGCATGAGCGCAGAAAACACAAGCTCGCGACGCCTCTGCGCGGGGCCTACGGACGCATGCCTCCGCGCATCGGTCTATGCTTGTTCCCACACGCCTCCTCTCCTGTCTCGTCCTCCTACCTCCACCCTCCCCTCTCCCCCCTCCCGCCTCCCGGAGTAGGAGGCGGAGGCGCGGCGAGCAGACAGGTTATGAGTTCATGGAGGGAGAGGAGAACGACAGAGAGAGAGAGAGAGAAAGGGAGAGAGAAAGAGAGAGAGAGAGGGATATTCAGATAATGGGAGAGGCATATCAAACGCACAACGAAGAAGAGAGAGAGAGAGAGAGAGAGACCATGGTCCCTCGAGGACCTCGTGTCTCAGGTTTCCGGGGGGGCGTCAGGGAGCACGCTCGGCCTTCGCTGGCGGTCCACATCTTGCACAATCAGGCTTCGCACATGTTGAGAGGATGCTGCTGTGACAAACCTTTTATGCCAAGAGCTTTCGAGCGAGGTGATTGTTTTGTAGGCCACAAGTGTCTGCTCCTTCTCGGGGCGCCCGTCCTCCGCCGCGGATGCACGAGGTCAAGTCGTCCGGGAGGCACAAGGAAAAGCAGGAGCTGGCCGAGGAGTACCTCGCCCTCTGCAATGGCGACTACGACGAGGTCCATCCCCCAGTAGAGGAGGAGCAATGAGAGAGGGGTAGGGGGAGAGTGAGGAGAGGGAGGGTCATGACGACGAGGGGGAGGGGAAGGAGGAGGAGGAGGGGAAGGAGGAGGAGGGGAAGGAGGAGGAATATCCACGCTGTCTTGTGACCTGGGGCCGTCCTGGATACGTACTTAAGCTGCCTCGGGCACGATTTCGCCACGTTTGGCTCGTCTTAAGTCTGTTCGAGGGTGCTTTCTGTTCGTCTTGTCCCGTCTTTGAGCCGGTTGGTGAAGGCGCCATTGTTTCGCACGTCGGCGTGCGCGCGCGGAGACGCGCGTGTGGCCTGGATTGTTTTTTGACATGGTCGGCGGGCTGGCGATGGTTGTCGAACGTTTTCGACCTGCGTCCGCGTGTGGCCCGCATCGTCTCATGTGGCAGCCATGTGGTAGAACAGGTCGACGAACTATGGTGTTCTTCTGATGTCAGCGAGTGCGCGCGCAGATGTCTTGCAACTCCTGTTTGTCAGGCTCACACGGTAGCTTTTCGTTTGTGGGAATGGCTACAACACGCAAGCTTTTGATTGATTCTTACGTGCGCGCACGGCCGCGCGCGCATGGGCCCCGCATCGTATTCGTATTCAAAGGACTTCTCATACAAAAACAAGCAGTCTTTGTATCAGCGCATACGCACCTCATAGTTAATCGTTGCAGGACGTGACGGGGTGGAGGGGGTGGTACCTGTCTGGTCTGAATGTTAGTATCTTGGCTTTCCGATCGTGCAGAATGATCACGAACAATACACTGCGAGAAGGTGTTCGGGGAGGTCTGTCCTCAGACGGGGGGGTAGAGTCGAATCCTTGTCTGGATAACGAATTTACTTGGATGCAACCAACGCGGTGCAATCTCGTTGCCGCGATGTATCGTATGCAGCACATGTCGCGCAACACATGCATGCAAGCTGTATGCTTCCATCTGTGCAGAGCGAACTTCTGCGTCGCAGGCGACACCCGGCAGACGCATCCGGCGCAGGCGGCGCCCACACAGCGACAACGGGCGCCCACAGGGCGAAAGCTCAGCAGACGCAGCCAATTGTTCTGGGAACGAGGTTCGAAGAAGAACACAAACACATAAACATGAACTTTTGGCGCTCCGCACGGATGTCTTGGATCTGCGCCTGGGCGCCCCGGCGGCGCCTCTGGCGCCGCCCCTGGCGCGCTCCGCGCGCCAGGGAGGAGGGTCCAACGCGAATCCAAGAAATCAACGCGGAGCGCCAAAAGTTTATCTTTATGTGGTTTGTTATTCTTCTAGAGGTGGGAGCCCCTCAGTGTAAGCACTGCTTGGGTACCATGGCCAACGTTGAGGCAAACATGCATCCTGTGAATCCTTCTCACAGGAGCGACGCTTTCCTGCGAAGTCATGTCAGGGCCAGGGCTCCGCTTGCCACGCTTGACACGTCTGCCGACCTCGCGTGGACGATTCGGTAATCGTCAGCCTGGAGGTCCATAGTCCACGCTTGAATCTGGGACTGCGTCGTTTGAGATCTGCGAGAACTTGCATACTGTCGGGGGTGGACAGACCTCCTACCCTGACACGTCGACTAGCGAATTGGCCGTTTTCGGTTCGCGAGGGGGCGTCGCGGCCGCCATTTTTGCGGGTCCAGGTCCGTCGGTTTCAGTCCCAGGCCGTTTTTACTGAGGGGAGGTTTAACAAAGGGAGGCTTGTCCACCGCCGATACTGACCCCATGGACCCATGGAGACTTTGTTCTGCGCAGGCGCAGGGCGAGCGAAGCGCATGCACACGGCAGCAGCGCTGGTGCCACGTGCCCTCCCTCCGTCCCGCAGCGAGGGGCCGAACGCCCGGGCCTGCGCTGGACCCGCGGGGCGGTGCGTGCGGCCGCCCCGCCCGCAGGCGTACCAGTACGTCAAGCAGCTCGGCGAGAACGGTGCTGGGCTGCAGTGACGAGGCGCGCGGCCGGCACCGGCGGGCGCCTCTCGTGGTGCTCCTGTCAGGGGCAGTGCTTCGACGGGGGGCTCGACTACAGGATTGGTTTGCCCCACCCTTGATTTTCACGCCGACGCTTCCACAGAAGCACGTCGACCGTTCGCAGAGCTGCGAAGGTTCTACGAAGTGCCCGTGGATTCGGCAAGACAGAGCAGTTCTGGGGCAAATTAGTGCTGTAGTCGACCCCCTACTCGAATGTTAGGAAGCGATAGGTCCAGAGGGGAAACGCAGCGACCCTCGGTCGCCCATCCCTCGCCGATAGGGGCCCGATGATAGCCCCCCCCCGTGCAGGAACGTCCGGGTTCGCTACCGGGGAAGCCACTTGCCGAGCTGTCGGCGCTGCCTCGCCGATTCCGGGTCGAGGGTTCCCCTCGCCGAGCCCGTCCCCCTCCCCCCCCCCAGCGTTCCCACCACAGAGGCTGGATTTCGAGAGCCTCACCTTCTAGTCTTCTCCGACACGCTTCTGCTCCTGGCTTCCTCCTGCCTCCCTGGGGCCGGGGAGTATGCAGATCCGCTTCCGGCTTTTGGCCTTTGCGGGGCGACAGGGTTTGGGATTGCCGACAGGCGTAGCGATTCACTCATACCGCGACCTCGAGGCACCACAGGAAGTTCGCATGTTGGGCATGGGCTTGCGTTGTATCAAGGGCGTACAACAAAAAAACGCCCCTACCCTGGTTTACGAGGCGCTGCGCGCTGAACCTCCTGTGGGCTGACAGGGTAAACCCTGCATATCGCGCGTGTCGCGCGTTGTCCTGGCGGCTCTCTGGCCTTTGGGAGCTCCCAGGAGGTTTACAGACCACGCAGTTGTACCCCAGGGTAGGGGCGTCTTTGCATCCCTCAACTGTAAGCACTCGCACCGATGCCCTGAGTTGTCCGTTCCCAGCTCGTCTCGACAGGATGGCTGGGCTCCACGATGTATGATCGGAAGGGTCGTGTCCTCTGCCGCCAGCCCGTCAGGCTGGGCTACCTTGTGGAGCTATCGGAACAGAACTTGGGCCATCGTGCCATCTAGGACAATCGGGCTGGGCGAACGGGGACGATCAACTCCCTGTTCGTGCAGACGGCCCAGTGCTCCAAACATGCAGAGAGTTCGCAATTATACATCACGTGCTGCAGCTGCACTCTCGAGCATCGTGCAGGCACGTATTCCATCAGCAGTCTGATACCTGAGCCCAGCGGCATCAGACCTTTGTGACTGTTGTACAGCTGGATGTGAAAGGGGGGGTATGACATCTGCTGCATGCAGCTGGCTGCGGCCCGCCGCCGGGCCCATTCCTCTATACACGGGCGCCTCCCAGCGCCGGGAGGCGTCGGGAAAATCAGCTACGTGAGCTGATTTTCACCCCCCCCTTTGCGACCCCCCGTTGCGCCCGGCCCGAGACAAGACCCAACGGAGTGCAAGCGCAGATTGTCTATCTTGCTCGGTGAATGAATGCGTGGGTGGAGTGCTTCGCGGATTTCGTCTGCGTCCATTACGGGAGTATCTGGGTATACACCTGGGAAAGAGGAGGGGTGAAAAAGCATCGCGACTTAGGTTGTGGCGCCTGGAGAGGCTCCCATGGGCTCTTTGGGGGCGCCCCAGACGACCGAGGAAGCAGCACAGAAGGCGCCCAGGGAGCTCATGGGGGGGGGTCCGAGAGGCAGTCGGGACGGTCGCAGAGAGTATCCGCAGATTCCAAGATGGAAGAAGGAGCCTGGGGAAATGCACAGGAGCTCCAAGAGAGGCGCAAGGAGAAGCCCGTGACGGCTGAAATCGTCAAAATCCGGTTTGGTTTACCAGGATCTTTGCTCATCGAAGTTCGCAAGTGTTTTGAACCCGAGCCAAGGTGGAGAGGCACCGAAACCGGCCCAAGGTGGCCAGAAGGACCGGCGTAATGAGCCCAGGAGGGCCCCGAGAGTCTCGAGAGGCCCCAAAAATCCGGTTCGGGAGGCTCCCAGAGAGGTTCTTGACAGGACCCGGCGGCGAAAACCAGCGCGCCCGAAACGGTTTGTGGCCACAGGGCGCCCTGGCCAGGCCCGAGGCCCTCGGGCCGGCGCGGGATGAGCGGTCCCCGGGTAGGACCCCAGGAGGGGCTCGGAGGGGCTCAGAGGCAGGGACAGGTATATGACAAGCGCGTCGGTGAGATGCAACTCGCGAGAAGCAGTTCTCGCAGGTCATGCGGTGGGGATCCCACACGCCGTCCCTGGTAGGGCGGCGGATTGCTTCGCTCATTCCGCCGGCCCATACCGCATGTACAGTGTGTAGTGGCCTGTGGCCTGACTGCGTCGTAGACAAGAGGCCCAGTGGGGAGGCCTGCTGGGGTCCCTTAGGAGGCCTCTCGGAGGCCTCGTGGCAGCCAGACCCAATCCCCACACGTCCCCCCTGACGCACGAAGCGCATCAGAAGGGGGCGCAGGGAGCTTAGCACGGCGCCGGCGGAGAGAAGCCGTTCGGCCGAGAGTCTGCTCAATTTGGAGTGTGCCCATGTTTTGCCGTAGCTCCTCGTGGGCGGCGCATCGAGGAGCCAGGTGGGTCGGGGAGGCTCGAGGACCGAGGATCGAGATGTTTCGAGGAGGCTCCAGGAGAATCGAGGAGGCTATCCAGGATCGAGGTGGGTCGTGGGAGGAGCAGTTCGTCCTCCCCCTCCTCCCCCGCCCTCCCCCGCCCTCCCTCATCCGTCTCCTTCTCCTCGTCCTCTTCTTTCTCCGCCTCCTCCTCCTCCTCCTCCTCCTCCTCCTGGATTTCTGCGTTTCTCGCTCCGAGCAGCGTCTCGCGTGCGCCCGGAGCGGGGAGCGCGCCACAGCAGCCCACGAGGGCCGTGCGGGCACTCAGACGGCGGCCCTGGGAACCCGACCTCGAGGAAAGAACGAGGATCAGGTGCTTCGGAGGAGGAGTGGAGAGGCCGCGTGTACAAACGGAGGCCCCAAAGGGCCTTTAGGCGGGCACAGCGCGCGCCCGCGCCCGCGGGCGTCAGGCAGCGCCCGCGGCGCGGCGCTCGGCCTGGCCTTCGGCCTCTTCGTGGGCCGGGGCCAGGCTGGCCGCTCGGCTGCGGCTGGGCTCCCTTCGGCGCGGAGCGCTGAGCCCAGCCGCTGTAGAGGACGGCTGCCCCCTCTTCGGCTGGGCCTGGGTGTGTGGTCCAGGCCAGAGGGGTGTGGGGGAGTGGCTCTCCTGCCCAAGGTATGTGGTCCCTGCTCCTAGCCACCTTTCCCTCGAGCCCGCTTCGGCCTGGCTGGCCTCTCAGCGACGCCTGGGCTCCCTTCGGCGCCTCGCGCTGAGCCCGGGGTCGGGGCAGGCTGCCCCTTGGCTTTGGAACAGAGTGTGTGGTCCTTGGGCCTGACCACCTTTCCTCCGTCCTCTGCCATCGTTGGTCACTAGGTGTGTGGCCCCGGCTCCTGACCACCTTTCCATAGAGCTTCCTGCTTCATTAACTCCATCTTCGTGTGCCCGGGTGTGTGACCCCTGCTCCTGGTCACCTTCCCCCAGGTCCTCGCGCAGCTCTGGCGTTGTGGACCCTGCTCCTGTCCCTCTTCTTAGCTGTGTTTGTGTGGGACTCGAGGTGTGTGGTCCCTGCTCCTGACCACCTTTCCCTCGGGTTCCCATGTGTCGTGTCCTTTTTGCGTCCTATCGTCCTGCGTAATCTCCAGCTCCCTGCGCTGTTCTGTGAGGCTAGGTTGCTGCAGTCGTGCGGCTGTGGTGGCTCCACCTTTCTCGCACTCTGTCGTTGGTGTTTGTGGTAGCATGTTGGAGTGTGTGGGTGTGTGGGTGGGGTTCGCACCTGGTGGCCTCCATGCACCGACTGCACCTCGTCCCGCTGTGGCTGTCCCACCTCGTCCCGCTATGACCGTGGGGCTCTTGGCTGTCCCACCTCGTCCCGCTATGGCTAGGGGTCACTGTGCCCTCAGTGGGGGCGAACCCCTCGCCTGGTGCTGTTGTAGTCGTGGTGGGGTTGACCACGCTTGCCCTCTGCTCTGCCATGTCGGCGTACGGGTGAGCTCCTCCTCCGTCGTGGGGATGGTGGGGGTGGCGAGCTAGGGCGGACCGCGGGGGCGCGGGTAGTGGCCGTCCTACCCCCCCCCTGCCCCTCACCATCCTCCCTGGTGGGCGCGGGCAGTACTCGTCCTGCCCCCCCACCCTTCGAGCCCGTCTCGAAGTTTGACCCTTGCCTCACCAGGGCAGTGTGGACTTGTGACGTTGTGTTGGTGGGGCTATCTTAAGGTTGCTGGTACTGGTTGGTTGTTGGTGATTGGCGGTCGTTGAGGTCGTATGTAGTCTTGGTTGCTGGTGGCCGCTAAACCTATGCGTGTGAAAGCGCTGCGTGCTTCTGTACTGCGAACGTGACGATGTGTGCCTGGGGTGTTCCCTCGCATTCGGGGCTTCCCCATGACTTGCGTCTTAACGCCTCCAGCAACACGTGGCAGCGCTGCCTGAGGTGTTCCCACGCATTCGGGGCGTCCTCAGGACGTGCGTCCTAACGCCGTTGGGATGGTTGTCGGAGCAGTGTGCACTTTGGTTCGCGGGGGTGTACGGCGCGGTGTCTGGCTGCGAGGAGTGCTTTTCGTAGTGCGGGTGGCGTCGTTGGATCGCAGCCGTGGTGCTGTCGGTCTGGTGGGCACTGGGTCGTGTTGTAGGGCTTGGTGGATGGTGGTTCGACGTGTTGATGGCAGTATGGTTGGTTGGGCCTGTTGTTGTTGGTCTGGTAGCTGGAGTTGTTGGGCGTAGTGGATGTGGTGCGGTGCGTAGTGAGTTCGGCCGCTTGTGTGTGCCATTCTGCGCGGCCTGTGTCTGTGCCTGTGCGCCCTCGGGGTCCCCACTCCCTGTGCCCACTCCCTGTGGCAGTCGTGGCCAAACTCTGCAGTCTCTGCGTAATAGTCCAGTGGTGCGTAGAAGTTGTGTTGTGATACTCCTCGTCGTACATGGCCCATGGTGCACTGTCGTCTGCCAGCTGTCCCCATATCGCCGCGAAAGCCGCCGCCATGGCT